AAGAAAGGCAGCTGGCCCAAAAGTATAAGTGGAGGTTTGAAGAGGAGAAGAAAGCCCTAGTCGCTGACATGATGGAAGACTGTAGCACCATCATGAAAATGACCTGGGACCGCCTCTACCCAAACACCGACTACTCAACATGGGGGAGCCAGTTTTCCGCCTACACTCGAGAGCATGACGAGGCGGTCATGGGAGGAGGAGACAGCCAGGAGGAGTCCGAGTCTTCTTCTTCTTCTGAAGAGGAGGTGGCGGTTGCTGAGGCTGAAGGGGAATCTTCAAAAAAGGCGCCTGAATAGTAGCAGGAAACTGTTCAGAGCAATCAAGTGTCCCCTCCCCAGCAAGAGAAGGCGGCTGCTGAAGGCGAGGTCCCTCCAACTGTTTAAGCTTTTCTGTCTTTAAACTTGATTCGGCCTGTGTGCCGAAGAATTTCATCCGGCCTACGTGCCGTGTATTTGTGCATCTTTACCCGGCCAAGGGGCCGGGGCTTCTGAATATTTTGCCAGCTTGTCTGGTTTTAACTTAACTTTGCCAGCTTGTCTGGCTTTAATTTGATATGATTTGGCGACTGTTGAGTCGTCTTTTGCTGTTACATATGCTGTTGTCTTTTGACTTTTGTTTTTGTTAAATTTACCAAACATTTTGCATGTCGTGACTTAACAGCCGCTTGTATGGCGTATCCATGTTAAACTTTTTAGCTAAACTGTTGGATCCTGATGCCGACTTCCCTTGCCCCTAGACAACTAGGTTACTTCTTGAAAAGAGAGTAACTAGTCGACCATAGACAGTCGGATCCCAGTAGCAAACATAACCAGTCTTCACTGAAATGCACTTAGTCACAGTGTTAAGGTACTGACTGAATTAACCAACTTAGAGTGAATTTCAAGTCACAGGGGTCGCCTAGTTCTTAGAGAACAGTCGGCTAGTCGCTGTTTTATTAATTGTATTATGTTCCTTGATATGTTTACGAGAAACATAGTAGGATACCTGTTGTTTGGACGATTGTCAATTCAGATGGGTGTATTAGTCATTGTCACATCCAGTCGGACACCAAGAGGTCCTTCTAGATTTTTCAGATTCATTTAGTATTTCTTAGTGGGAATGTTTGTTTGAGTGCCTTGTTGCCAAAGACCAGGCGAACTGCTCAAACTTTTAGGATTCCGGACCAAGTATGGAAGAACAACTATGGTTTAACTATGGTGTTAACCAATCGTGGCTGCTCCTAATCATGAGTAGTAGAGGTACCAGTCGTCAATGGCCGACTAATCCCCTTGATTCGTCAATTTTTGTTGACTATTAACCCAGAGGGCGCCTCCTGTACTTATCCCAAGTGATACAGGCGGCTATCCGACGCAGATGTCAACTGTTGACACTTATGAAAGTGTTGAGTTATCCTTGTCTCAAAACGGATACGTTGTCCTTGGGGACAACCATATAGGGGCCGTGTAAGTAGTTTATAGAGCATTATTCCACCCAAATGGGAGCTGCTCTCTGCGACGAATCTCATCCAAATGGCATGTCATCGTGCGCTTGATATTTATTGGGACAGGTCGTATTAATTTAAAAATTAAGCGTAATCAAGCGGCTTGGTGCCTGGGTTGATTAGCCGTATGGTGGGCAAACAGGCATGCCCTTTATTAAATATGTGTGGAGGGTATCCGTATGTCTTGGGACAGGCAGAGTGTACTTCTTTTTGAAACATATGAAAAGAAGGTAAACTTGGAACTTTCATTAATAAACTTTTAAATAAATACATCAAAAGTAATATTTTTTCAGACTGTCTACATTCCAAGTTCTAGGCAGGGGTCGGCCCTCTAGAGTTTCTAGACGGTAGGTTCCGTCCTTGACCTCCTCATAGATTTGGTAGGGTCCTTCCCAGTTAGGAGTTAGCTTTCCCAACTTGTTGGCCCTGCCGATTGATTCCATCTTCCTTAGTACAAAGTCCCCTACTTTGAGTAGGCGCTTGTGTACTCTTCTGTTGTAGATTCGAGTCATTCTCAGGCGTTATATTTCATGGCGTAGGGCAGCATTGCCCCTACGTTCTAGGAGGGAATCCAATGCCAGGCGCATTGCTTCCCAATTTGCATCTTCATCATACAGCATAACTCGGAGAGTCGGCTCATAGTGCTCAATGGGTAGGACAGCTTCTGCCCCATATGTTAGGAGGAAAGGTGTCTCTCCAGTCGCTCCTTTTTCAGTTGTCCTTATGGCCCAGAGAACATGTGGTAGTTCGTCTACGCATAGGCTGCCTGCTTTTTCAATCTTCTTCTTTATACCGTCTGAGATGATTTTGTTAAATGCTTCAACCTGGCCGTTTGCTTGCGGCCGTCCGACTGATTTAAAGCAGTAGGCAATACCTTGATCTCTCAACCAAGTTTTGAGAACAGACGTCTTAAACTGGGGACCGTTGTCAAAAACCATAGACATAGGAACCCCAAAACGAGTGATCACATTCCTCCAAGTGAAGGAGATTACATCCTTAGTCTTGATGCCCCTGACTGCCTTGGCGTCCACCCATTTGGTGAAGTAGTCGACTGCTACTAGGATGTATCTCCTGCTGCCTGATGCAGGCGTATAGGGTCCTAGAATATCCATGCCCCACTTAGCAAATGGAATTGGGCTGTGGATAGCCGTTAGATCTGTAGCTGGACGATGAATCAACTTGCCAAACCTCTGGCACTTGTCACACTTTTTAACCAGATCCATGGCGTCTGCCTCCAGAGTCGGCCAGAAGTACCCTTGCCGCCTTGTTCTTTGAGCAAGTGACCTACCGCCTACATGAGAGGCGAAGTATCCAAAGTGCAGGTCTTCTAGGACCTCTCGTCCTTTTTCAGGGGTAACACATTTTAGTTAAGGTTGCAAATTGCCCTTCTTGAAAAGTTCTCCTTTGTGCATTTCAAAACTAGCTGCCCGCTTCTTTACTAGGACCGCCCGATAGTGATCAGCCGGTAATATGCCGTCTGTTAAGTAGGCTCGAACGGCATCCATCCAGGTTGAACTTCTATCGAGGATTACAATGTTGTCTTCCTCAATACTCCGTTTTTCCATTACCTCCCAGAATACAGTTCTTGGGGTGTCGCATGAGGCCGAGGATGCCAGTTTGGACAAGGCGTCCGCCTGGTTATTCTCCGACCTTGGAACCTGGGTCAATTGGAAATTTTCAAGTGAGCTTGCCGCCTGTTTCACTACCTCTAGGTACTTGACCATAGCCGGATGAGTAGCTTCATAATCCCCATTGTACTGGCTGACTATGAGTTGTGAATCAGAACAAGCGGCTATCTTTCTTGCCCCGGCTGCTTTGCACATGCGGATACTAGCCAGAAGGGCTTCATACTCACCTTCGTTGTTAGACGCCTGAAACTTGAAACGAAGCGCATATTCATACCTTTTACCCTCTGGCGACTGACATACAATACCTGCCCCACAACCATTTGCTGTGGAACTCCCATCAACATAGACTTTCCAGAGTTGATCAATTTCTTCATATTCTGGTGGCCGGGTTATCTCAACTATAAAGTCTGTAAAGGCTTGCCCCTTCACAGCTTTTCTGAGCTCGAACGTGACCTCAAGGCTTTAGATCTCAATTTCCCACTTTATCATTGGTCCTGACGACTCCATGGTCGTCAGGGGCCATTTGATTGGCTGGTCTATGTAAACGACCACCGGATGTGGCAGGAAATAAGGCTTCAATTCCTTCACTGCCATGTACAGGGCGAGTCCAAATTTCTCCACCAGTGGGTATCTCAATTCTGCATTCTTCAAAACATGGCTGACAAAGTAGACTGGGAGTTGGCAGCCGTCTGTTTCAGCTAAGAGGACGGCACTTAAAGCATGATCTGACACTGCGAGATACATGTAAAGCACTTTTTTTGGCAAAGGACTGACGAGTCTCGGCAGGGAATGCAGATGTTCTTTCAGCTTTTAGAAGGATGACTCAGCATCCGGTCCCCATTTAAACTTTGCTTTCTTTCTAATTGCTTGGAAAAAGTAGAGGCACTTGTCGCCTGCCCGACTGAGAAACCTTCCGAGAGCTGCGAGGCAGCCTGTTAGCCTTTGTACCTCTCGGACGGTGCGAGGCGACTGCATGTCTATGACCGCTTGCACCTTGTCGTGATTTGCCTCTATTCCCCTTTGATTTATCAGGAATCCGAGAAATTTCCCAGACTCAACTCCAAAGACACACTTTTTTGGATTAAGCATGACTCTGTGCCGCCTGAGTGTGGCGAATGTTTCTCGGAGGTCAACCAGATGGTCTGTTTGGAGTTTTGACTTTACAATCATATCATCAATATACGCCTCCACATTCCTTCCAATCTGTTAAAAAAACACAGTGTTTATCATTCGTTGAAAGGTCGTCGGGGCGTTCTTCAGACCAAACCGCATGACCGTGTAACAATAGAGTCCCTGCTCTGTGACAAAGGCAGTTTTCTCTTGGTCTTTTTTCCAGAGAGGGATCTGGTGAAAGTCTGAGTAGGCGTCCATGAAGCTCATCAAGGCATGGCCGGCTGTTGCGTCGACCAGGCTGTCGATCTTAGGCAGAGGATAGCTGTCTTTCAGACATGCCTTGTTCAAATCGTGTAGTCCACACACATGCGCCATGTACCATTCGGCTTTTTGACTAGTACCACATTTGCAACCCATTCTGGGTAGAAACACTGCCGAATGTATCCTGCATCAAGTAACTTTTTTACTTCGGCGGCGGCCGCCTTGTTTCTTTCTTCACCATGATGCCTTTTCTTCTGTCGTACCAGCTTCTTTTTAGGGTCGACAGCTAGTTTGTGTACCGCCAGGTCTAGACTAATTCCTGGCATCTCATGTACTTCAAATGCGAAAATGTCCTGGAAACCTTTCAATAGTTGGCGAAGATCATCACCAAGCTCAGTCAGAGCAGTCGTCCCCACCTTAACAGTTTGGTCAGGACGACTGTCATCAAGGGCGACATCTACGTGCTCCCCAGCTGGCTGAGGGCGGAATTCATCCGGCCGCTCCTCAACCAGTGATTGCTATTTTTTATGCTTTTTCTTGACCTCCGTTTCGGAAGCTTTTCTCTTCCTGCCTCCTGCCTCTTGGGCAGACGCTTCTTCTATGGCTTTGCCAGTTGGGCCGTCTGAAGTTACCATTGTTTTGATGTCAGTGAGGTAATATTCCCTGGCCATTCTCTGGTCCCCCCTTATGGAACCGACTATTTTGTCATCCTTCTCAAACTTGAGTAACATAAGGGATGGAATGATAACTGCTTTAGAGTCATTAAGGGTGGGGCGCCCAAGGATCATGTTATAGGCAGTAAGCTCTTCCACAACCAGGAAACGAATGACCATGTGGCGGCCCTCGCCTTTCTCACCCAGACGGACGGGCAAGTCAACTTGACCAATCGGATGGACGACTCCCCCTCCAAATCCTACGAGAGGATGGGAGATAGGATGTATACTCTCAAGCCTGTACTTGAGTTTGGTCAAGCACTTATGGCTGATGAGGTCCGACAAACTCCCTGTATCAATAAGTATCCTGCCGACTCTTTGATTGGCCACTTTACACTCGATGACAATTGGATCGTCATGTGGTCGTCGGACACCACCCGAGTCTTTCTCAGAAATAATAACCTCAGGAAACGAGTTACCAGAGGTCTCACCCTGATTAACAGAGTTAACATCCAGTTGTCTGATTTTATCCTTGTTTCCCCGAACAGTCAGGCCTCCTCCTGCATAGCCGCCTGCTATTATATAGATGGCAGCTTCATTAGTGTCAGAGCTGTCGGCCAATTTCTGCCTCTTTTGCCTGGCCGACTGTTTCTGTTTGGGGGGCTGTTTTCCTTTACGTTTTTTGACATAAGAGTCCAGATCACCTTTTTCAGCCAACTGATCTAGCAGACGCTTAAGACTGATACATTCGTTGGTCTCATGCCCAACGTCTTCATGAAAGTGGCAGTGTTTGCCTTGGTTGCGCTTGCTACGGTCGCCCCTCATAGGTGTCGGCTTCTCGAGGGAGAATCGGCCCTTAATCTCTGTGAAGATGGCATGATTATATTTATTTAACTCATACTTGGGGGAGTATGGATTCAATTCCTTTCTCTTTTTGCTTGACGACTGACTAGTGGTGTCGGCCATCCATACATCTTTCCTCTTCTTCTCTTCCTTGGGGGCCGCATTCTGTGTACGACTCTCCTTTTTCTCGGACCTTTTCTGGTCCCCTTGCTTTCCCATGTGACAGAGGTCTACCGCCTGTATGTAGGTCTCAGCCTCCACCATCGCCTCTTGGAGGGTAGCCACTCTCTTTCTGACTAAGTCGAATTTAAAGTTCGACTCGTCCTTCAATCCTTTGAAGAAATCAGTGTAGGCTACCTCATCCGACAGGTTGGGTATCTGTATCCTCATCAAATTGAATCTTTTTATATAGGAGCGCAATCCTTCCTTTTCTCCCTGCTATACGGCTCCCAGATCAAGAGTCGTCTTCCTGGCAGGTATGTTCATGGAAAAGTTGGAGGCAAACAAATAGGCCAGTGTCCTGAAGTTGTTGACACAACCGGCCGACAGGTTGCCGAACCACTGTTGGGCAACTCCTTTAAGAGTGGTCGGGAAACATCTGCATCATGTGGCATCGTCCAATCCTTGAAGGTACATTAAATTGGTGAATTCCATCAGATGATCCTCTGGGTTAGTGGTGCCGTCATAGGCGCTCACTAACACATTTTTTACTTTAGCCGGCTGGGCGGCTTGTAAGATATCCTTGGAGAAGGCGGTTGGCTATTCTCCGAGTTGAAGCAATTGTACTTGCCAGTCCAAAGGCTGGACATGCTTTGCTGTCTGACCTCCGAAAGGAGGAGGCGGTAAAGAGTTGTGAGCTTGTGGCACATAGGGCGGCTGAGGAACATATGGTACCGACTGTTGTTGACGAGAGCTAGAACCGAAGGGAGTGCTGCCCGTTCGGATCTTATAGTTTGATTTTGAACACGTCAAGGATTTATTTTGGACACTGTCAGGAAAATCAGAAGTGGAGGCCGACTCAGACTGTTGTTGGCTCCTTTTCTGCTGAATCAGCAGCTAGGCGTCTGAGTAGGATTTCTTTGAGCCGTCTGGTTGAACCAGGCGGATTGGTTTCCTTCCTAATGAGGCAGAAATACGGTACTTGGACAAATTGACTAGAGGTATCCGCCTCTCCTCTTAGCGAGGGTGGGGGGTTGCCTCACGGTCCTTCAATGACTTCTTCTTTCCTGAATAAGAAGGCTTTTTGCTAGACTGCCCTTTTTGGGAGACAGCCGTTTTTTTGTTGATGAGATCTTGAATCTTACCCTTGAAACTTCTCATGATGGTCATAAGATCATTCCTTGAGACAGGAGCAGTCCAGACGACCGCTTGATGAGAGTCGGCCGAAGGTCCGACTGTTTTGCCTGGACCAGCCTGGTCTTGCCGTTCCTGCCTTTCACGAGGGGTAGTGCGTCGAGCCCTCAAAGACCCGTCTGGGGCCATGTGAGTCTCAACTTCAGGCTCAGTGTCTTCATCAGAGTAAACATGAGGGTCGTCCTCTAGGCAGTCGCCCTCAGGACGCTTGTCACTATTAGTCGGTACAGATTGTGATACCATCTCAAAGGTACTCTCCCCACAGACTGCGCCAAAATGTTCCGGGGTTTTCTGGTGTCCCTTGGGAGAGTTACAACTTCAAGGCTGGAACCACGCGCCTGTACCTGGAAGATAACGAAGACTCCTTGGGTAGGGAGCTCCGCCTCCAACGGTCAAGTTAGTCACTGAAGGAGTTGTAATGCGGAATGTAAATAGGTGCCGGATGCTAGGACGGGTCTAGCAGGCGGTACCGAGTGGTGTGTGATTATCTTGGGATTTAGGCAATTCGTGTGTTTCTGGTGAACAGTCTCTGTCATTAATGAGCATTGAACGTAAGTATTTATAGCATTGGGAAGCGTGCCAGATCCTAGGGTTTTTGGCTAACCCTTGGGCTGACTGGGCTTTCTTGGGATGTGGGCCCAAGATGCCATTTGGTTAGGCAAACGAGAAGGGCTACATGGCGTGGCATGAAGGGTCCATGGTGGACCAGCAGGAGTAGGCCACGTGGCATGCCCTAGGTCGCCCAAATGGAGGGCACTTGTCATCGCTTGACTATGCCACGTGGCAAGCTGTGATTGGGTGGGAAAATTCCCCTAATCAATTACAGTGTGAAATAACTGATCAAAGAAGTTCTTTTCAATGTGCATGACATCTAGGTTGTGACGAACAAGCAGATGCTTCCAATATGGAAGCTCCCACGGTATGCTTTGCTTGAACCACCCCTTCTTTTCTTTTTTGAGGCGTTGAAGTGACTCGGGCCCATCTGTAGCCTTTTGAAGGTCTTTCACACATTCCCACAGCTCCTCTCCTGACATAATGTGTGGAGGGGCACCCTTTTCGACTTTGTTTCTGCAAAACGCAGTTCTACTATTCCGAAAAGGGTGATTCGTCGAAAGGAACTGGAGGTGGCATTCAAACCAAGACACCTTACAACCATTTTCTAGCCAAAATGCTTTGCTTTTGTCCATGCAATATGGACAAGCTTTCTTACCAGATGTGGCCCAACCGGACAACATACCGTAAGCCGGGAAGTCACTAACGGTCCATAGGATGGCTGCTCGAAGATTGAAATTCTGTTTCATGGAAATATCGTACGTATGTGCACCAACTTCCCACAAATGTTTCAACTCCTCAATCAACGGTTGCATGTACACATCCAAGTTGCCCTTAGGATTTTTAGGACTAGGAATGAGCAACGAAAGGAACATAAATTGTCTTTTCATACACATTGAGGGGGGAAGGTTGTAAGGGGTCAAAATGACAGCCAACAAGAATATTGTCCCCCAAACTTGCCATAAGGAGCGAAACCATCTGTACACAAACTAAGCTGAACATTACGAGGCTCGGAGGCAAACTCTGGAAAGCAGTTGTCCAGGTGTTTCCAAGCTTCACTATCACTAGGGTGTGCCATAGTGCCTTCCACTCGAGGATTTTTCGAATGCCATGTCATTTCCTCCGAAATAGTCTTGGTTGTAAACAGCCTTTGCAGCCTGGGTGTGATAGGGAAATAAAATAAAACATTTAAAGGCACTAGGCTACCCTTGGAAGTCTGCTTGTAGCGATCGCTGCCACACGCCCAACATGTAGACAGCTGGGCATCATCCTTCCAAAACAACATACATCCTTTAGGACAAGCGTGAATCCTTTCATGAGGCATTTCCAAGCCCTACACAATATTTTTCACCTCATAGAATGTGTCTACCATTTGATTGTTTTTAGGAATTGCTTCACTGAGAAGTGAAACAAACCCATCGACACATCTGTGCGGAAGATTATACTCGCACTTTAGACTTGTGATTCTACCGGCAATCTCCAACACAGACAACGAACTACCTTCGTATAATGGCCTTTCAGAAGCCTTCAACAAATCGAGAAAATGCTTAGCTTGGGCATTAGGCTCCTCTTCTAATGAAACAATAGCCTCTTCGGAATGCACATGATCCTGACTTTGACTAAACGTATCGAAAACCATTTCACGATATTCGTTGGACCCTCTTGCAGGAACTGTCGGAAACCTTTCCCCGTGACACATCCACTCATAGTAATTAGGTACAAAACCCGCGCGAAACAAATGAAGTTTAACCGTATCTGGGTCCCAAAGCCGTTTGTTCTTACATTTAGCACATGGACACCTAACTTCATTCGGGTTACTACTTTCGGGATTATCTTTGACGTATTGCATGAATTCATCAACCCCTTTCTCGAACTCTGGATTAACATATGGCCCGACCTTCCTTTCATACATCCAGCTACGTTCTGTTCGTTTCATGATTACAACTTCTACACAACTCACGCATATTAGTCACAAAGCGTACTTCCTAACCATTATCCATCAATCATTCATGAAAATGCAAATGAGATATAAAATTCTTCCAAAGGGTCCTTATCACTCCAACCTAACCCATCCTTGTACGTTTAATCCCACTAGTGAATGTAAGCCAGGTTTTCAATTCTACGGAAAATCCATCAGCATTTCTCTACAGTTCTCCAAGTACATGATGTAGGCAATTAAACACACTTACATATGTACCCAAAGAACACTGTAGAGAAATGAAAAGACATGATTTTTTGTAGAATAAAAAACAAGGCTTACATTCACCACCTAAGTGAGAATAAGCGTACAAGGACAGTCCCAACCGGGGACTATTCAAGACATACTCCTATTGTGTATGCCTAGAACTGGTATCTAGGAAAATGATTATGCAAATGATTCATTTATTATATATATGTAAAGTGAAGGTCACATGCATTATACTAAATAGAGATTTATTATAATTAAACTAAGCATACACTAAAAAACACTACATTAAACTAAATAAACTAATAAACACTACATTAAACTAAAGTAATGGTGAAATAAACATAACTAAAATAAAATAAACTAAACTAACACACATTACCATAATGAACTAAACAAAAATATGTTAACATGTTATAATACAACAATTAAAAACTAAACTTAAATAAACTAAATTAAACTAACATATCATAACATAAACACATTCATTTCAAATATTTCAACATATTAAAATATAAATAGAACTGATTGTATACACTACACAGAAAAAAATAATAAACTAACATATAACTAAATACTTTTATCAACTAACATGTCGAGTATAAAATAAACTTATAATTTTTGGTTTTATATAGTCTCTAACCTGTAGATCTGCACTAATTAGTGCCAAACAACCAAGAAAATTTACAAATCCTACAAAAAAATGCAAATTAAACAATTTGGAACTAAGTTTGTGCTGCCTATGTATATTAATAATATTTAAATGCTATAAACATATAATGAAAAAAACCAAAAAAAAAAAAAAAAAAAAACCAAACACACAACCTGCTGCCAGCGGTGGTTGGGCGTCGCGGTGGTTACAGACTGGCGGCGGCCTGCTGTCGCGGTGGTGGCTGTTTAATTAACAAAAAAAAATTATATAAAAACCCCCAAAAACACCAAAGCAGTAAATTAAAAAAAAAGAATTGGCTAACCACTTACCAAGGCGGCGGTTTGGGTTAATTCCGGTCAACACTTAGTTTTTGTGGTGATATTCGGCGCAGCTGTGGTGAATTTTGGTGAACCCTACGGTGGTGGTTGTGGTTGTTAGGGTTTGCAAGATTTAAAAAAAAAATTATAAAATAAACCAAAGCCTTACCTGCACCGGCGGCGACCAGGGGCGGCTGGTGGTGGAGCCGAAGGCGAATTCCCCTCCTCCTTTTCTCCTTCTCTCTTTCTCTTTCTCCCTTTCTTTCTCTTGTATTTTCTTGCTAGGTTTCTGTCGCAAAAAGGGCAGAAAATACAAGGGTTTTTTTTTTTTAATTTGCTGAAGGCTTCCGACGGAATTAGTTTCGTCAGAATAAACCTGTTCCGATGGAATATTCCGTCAGAAATACTTTTCCGGCGGAATATTTTGTCGGAACAGGTTATTTCCGAGAAAAATTAAAATCCGTCGTAATGATACCTACGGGTTTTTTCTGTCGGAAGGTTCCGATTTCGACGGATTTTTCCTACACATCCAAATTCCACCGAAAAGTTGAAATTATCGAGGGGATTGAAGTCCGTCGTTGCAAATGGATGCGCCGGCTCACCAATCATTGATGGGCATTCCGTCAGAATTTAACCTTTTTCTAGTAGTGCACCTGTTTTCCAAACAGAGTAGGCTGTATGAAATATTGAGGTTGCGGCACGTATGGCTGGGGTGGCACATGCGGTGCCGCCTGGTTTTTCTGGGAGCCGGACCGGTGGGAGGTACTGCCTGTCTGGCTCTCATAATTTGAGCTCGAATATCTCAAGGAGGTATTGTGTAAACTGTCTTGAAAATCAGACGTTGAGGCCGACTCTGACATTCGATCACTTCTTCTACTCTAACAACGTTCGAGCATCAGAGTATGTTCTCTTTGACCCGTCCGGTTGAATATAATAGATGTGCTTTCTTTTCCTGGTGAGGGAAAGTGATACTTCGTTAAGTGGATCACTGGCGGCTGCCTTGCCCCAGACTTTGGATAAGGTGTCGCCTCACGATCTTTTACAAGCTTCTTCCTCCTAGACTGGGAGGGTCTTCTTGCCGACTGCTCCTTGGATGGAGCAGACGTCTTCTTATTGATGAGGTCCTGGATCTCCCCTTTGAAATTATTCATGAAAGTCAAGAGCTCACTTTTAGTGATGGGGGCAGATCCCTCGGCCTCCTATTGATGATCAAGCGGCTGGCCAGCAGGTTTACTAGATCCAGCCAGGCAATCCTGTCGTTCCTTCCTTTCGGCGGAACGAGTTTTTCGAGCTCTTAAGGTCCCATCTGGGGCCGTGTGAGTCTCGACCTTGACTTCATTGTCAGTATCTTGGTCACTATAGACCTGAGGGTCGTCCATAGGACGCTTCTCGTTTTGATTCGGTACAGACTGTCATGCCATCTAGAAAGTACTCTCCCCACAGACGGTGCCAAAATGTTTCGGGGTTTTCTGATGTCCTGCGAGAGAGTTACAATTCCGGGACTTGTATCCTTGCACCTGTACCTGCAAAACAACGGAGACTCCTTGTGGTGGGAGCTCCGCCTCCGACAGTCAAGTTAGTACTTGTTTGAGGAGCAAATAAGTGCGGAAAAGTAAAGGTGGAGATCTGGTCCCTATAGGTGAGGTGTGATCAATGTGTTTAGGCTTCTCTAGATAAGAGTAATTAATTGCCGAATCCCCCTTTAATGAGGTTTAATGAAGGTATTTATAGTCTTGGGAAGCGTGCCCAAACCTAGGTTTAGGTTAACCTAGAGCTGATTGGGCTTTTCCCAAAAACAAGGCCTAGGTGGCCATTTTCCTAGGTGGCAAACAGCAGGCCACTTGGCGTTGCATGATTGGTCCATGGTGGACAAATGGCTGTGTGCCACGTGGCAGGCCCTGAGAGGTCCAAATGGAGGACACTTGGCAGGACCTGATTGGTCCACGTGGCGTACACTGATCGGGCGGGGAAAACCCCCTAATCAATTATTATTATTATTATTATTGTTATTATTGTTATTAGACCTTATCATTAAAGAAATCAATAAAAAAATAATCTTTCAGAAAGATAAAATTTGATGGTGGGGCCATATTTATAGTATAAAATATATCAAGAGGATACCCTTAATTTAGGAAAAATATATGGAAGAGGATGGAAGAGAGGAAAGAGATAGTGGGAAATGAGGTGGATGAAAGAGAGTATGAGGTGTCAAAATAGGGTAAGGAGAGAGAATGTTTGAGAGGACAAAACAATTCTCGTTAATATTTATGCTCTTAGTCCAACTCAAATGTGCTTGAGATCAAAATTTAGGTAATGTCTATATTAGTCCGATTTGTTTAAAATCTTATCTGACATGGATACATGTTGATAAGTCTAATCGTTTTTCCACACACACAACCATCCCACCCCCTGACTACCCCACCCAACCCACCCTAACCACGCCAGCCTAACCCAGACCCACCCTAACCACCCCACCCCTTACCCACGCTAACCTGCATCTCAACCCACCGAAAACCTCTTTTCTGCCCCACAACACCACCAGCCCCAACCCAAACCAGACCTTCCACCCCCCAACCCAGACCCGACCAACTTCCCCCACCCACCATAACCAAACGTACCCCACCCACCCTAACCCACCAAGAAAATACGAAAAAAAAACAAATCGGAAAACGCCAAATCAACCTAGATCCAGCCCCAATTCCCTTACCAAAAATCAAAACAATCAAAAATCGAAACAACCAAAATTCAAAACAACCAAAATTCGAAACAACCAAAAATCGAAAAAAATAAACAAAAAAAAATTGAAATCAAACAAAATAAATAAATATACAATTATCTTCTGAAATTAATAAAATAACATTACAATTATATTAAAAATTTAATTATAATCAGAATTGTTGTTTTTTTTTAAAAAAAATAAAATAAAAAAGAAACTAGATCTACAGTTGTTGTTATTGTCGTTGCTGCGGTGTTTTTGTTGTCGTTGCTGCGGTATTGGGCTGGTGTTGTTGTTCTCGTTGCGCGGTGGCCATGGTGTGGTTGTTTTTGTTGTCGCTGTGCGGTGGCCATGGTGTGGTTGTTGTTGTTGTCGCCGTGAAGAGAATAAGAGGAGAGAAGGAGGCTTATCATATAAGAGGAGAAAAGGAGGAGATCGAAAAAGAAGGAGATCGAAGAAGGAGAATGAGAGGAGAAGGAGAAGAGAGGAGAGAGAAGGAGAAGAGAGGCGAAGAGGAGGAGAGGAGAGAGAAATGAGAAATAAAAGGGGGGGGGGATCCGGGTCTTTTTAGGGTTAGTTTTTTTTTTATTATTTAATTATATTTTCCGACGGATTTTATTTCCGCCAGAAAGAAATTTAATGTATCGACGGAATAATCCGTAGGAAGTTTCCGACGGATTTTATTTCCGTCGAAACATTAAATTTCCGACGGAATACTCCGTCGGAATGCCTATATATTCCGACGGAATATAAATCCGACGGAATATATAGGATTTCCGATGAAATGTTGTGTCCGTCGGAAGATGTCCGTCGGAATCTACCCTTTTTCTTATAGTGTAATTATTTGCCCCTCACAGGGGGCATGTGACTGGTTACAAGTCACCTGTGACAAGTGTTGGCTTGTAACAGGCGACGGCCTGCTACAGGTTTCGTCCTGCGATTGGCCGAGCGTTTTTCCTGCTCATTTTTTAAATTTGGAGGTGACCCTTCGTATTTTTATTTTACCCTATATAAGGGTATGTTGACCAAGTCTTTTGTTCACATTTCGCGAACTTTGCAAGAGAAC